ATACACAGGGAGGCCTGGCCAGGGTAGTTGTGTCTCCAATGTACATGACACCAAGGGGGAGAAATCAGGTCAGTGAAGGACGTGCCAGCTGGCAGAGAGCTCAGGGCACACAGGCCAGCAGCACGCGGGGTCCTTTCTGCTTGAGCCTCTTGAGCGGGAATGTGCAGGGGGCTGGAGAGGGGCACCATGCGTAGTGGGGATGGGGAGTGTCTGAGTGAGGTCACCTGAGTTATCTCCCCAGCTCTGAGAGGGCGGTGGGGTCTAGTGGGTAGAGCTGGAGCCACTGGGAGTTAGGAGTTCTGTGTTCTGGCTCTGGGCAGGGCGTGAGCGCTAGGCCTTCTGGGGCCTGTTCCCAGCTCCAGGGACTGTCATTAAGAGCTGGGGACGTGGAGCTGCATTTGTACCAGCACACTTGTCCCATGGTGCCCAGGCCCCGCACTACAGTTGGCAGCAGGGTCTTCTGGTCAAAGCATTGCATTGTGGGATAGATTTGGGCAGGCCAGCTAGAGCCAAATCAGCTGCCACCCTCACTGGGAAGCAACTTATCACCTGCACCCTGACAGGCTGGGAACGGGCCAGCTGTTGCTACTCTGGCTGGCCCCCTGGCTGCTCTGGCAGCATAAAGTGAATGTGAATCTCCCCTCTCCCCGGTCCTTCTGGCTGGCATAAGGGCTTGTCACCCACCCTGCTCCCAGCATAGACACGGGGTGGATCAGAGGCAGTGCTGGAGCACGCGGAGCAGTGGCTCTTCTCTGAGTCCCTAAGCGGCGCAGCGTGGGTTGGAGCAGCCACAAGGCAGCTCTCACTTACACACAGCTGATGAGTTCTGTGCAGCGCCACATGTGCCATTTTATGCAAATGATCCTCTGAGCTAATCTGCATGTCCTCAAGTCATCTGCAGGAGCTAATACTCCTGGGGCTACGTATACACTGCAGGCTTCTTGTGCAAGAACTGTTTTGTGCAAGAGTTCTTGTGCAAAAGGTCTTCCACAAGAGCGCGTCCACACTGCCATGTGCTTTTGTGCGAGAGCATCCATGGCAGTATGGACGCTCTCTTGCGCAAGAAAGCTCTGATGGCCATTTTAGCCATAGGGCTTTCTTGCATAAGAAACCCCTGTTGCCTGTCTACACTGCCTTCTTGTGGAAGAGCTCTTGCACAAGAGGGCTTATTCCTAGTGGGGAGAGGAATAACTCTTGTGCAAGAAGCCCTGCTTTCTGACGCTTTACTGTACATTTACTTGTGCAAGAACGTGCATGTAGTGTAGACGCTCAGCAAGTTTTTGCGCACAAACAGATGTTCTTGCACAAAAAGCCTGCAGTATAGACATAGCCCTGGAGTGGAGGGCAGCTATACAAGGCTGGGGCAGGGAGAGAGGGTCCTGGCTCCACCGCGGCATCTACTGGCTGACAGAAGAGAGAGCAGCTGAGCCAATGTGTGTGAGATTCAGGTGGAGCCGGCAGGTGTGATGGGGGCACGTGTCACACAGGGAGGCCAGGCAGGGTGGGTTTAAAGCCACCCAGTAAGGGGCCCTTGGTATACAGGGCCTGCAAACCCCTATCTGCAGCTTGCGGGGGGGGGGATGAGGAGTCTGATTTCCAATGGGAGCTCAGAGGTGCCAAATGTCAGGTCCCTTCACAGCTAATGCAGTGTCTGTTAGCTTGCTAGCACCTGGCCCCAGTCCCAGCCCAGGTCCGCACCAGTGCCTGCATGGGGCTGCTGGGATATTAGCAATGCCCTCCCCTCACACCTTTTGGATGAAAAACAGATCAAGGTGAAAGCCCAGCCCAGACCCACTAACCAAAGAAGCCACTGCAGGAAATAACAGGCAGGAATGTTGAACTATAAATCGTTCCACCAGCAGATCAGAGCGATGAAGCTAGCGCGGAGGGGGGGGGGGGAGTCCCTGCTGTGGGTTATTTCCCTCTCTGGATGCTCCCTTTATACACTGGGGATTTATCTAGCTGGAAGGAACAGAGTGTTATTTAGCTACCTTTGGAATGAGCCAGGCAGCCGCTGATTAATTCTCCTAGCCTAGGAGTAGAGTACAACCAGCCAACCCTTGCAGTAAGAACTGTTATGCCATCCCCATCCTCCCCAAAAATTACTGAGTGCTGCAAATTAGTGCCACTCCACGAAATGGAGATCTGGCCCATTAGTTCCAACACTGATATACACCGGGCTGGGGTTTGGCCCCATTGATTCCAATGGAGCAAGTGCCATTTCCCCCAGGCGGGAATCTGACCCTTTGTGTCTGGGCCCCTGAGTACAGGGCTCATACCCACTAGATGATCCTTGGTGTAATTGCACTGGGGATGATTGTTCTTTCACTCGCATCTGGTGTCAATCCAGACTCACTCCAAAAGGGTTAGTCTGGAGTAAGTGAAATGATAATGAGATCCCTTGATTTTACTGGAGCTGCTCCTGATTTGCCACATGGCAAGTACGTGGGACTTCCTCTCAGGCTGGAGTAAACCCAAAGCAACTCCTCTGACACTGCTGGGGTTTCTCCAGATCCACACCAGCATAACTAATTGCAAGCTGACCCTGTGGGGAGAACGGTTCCTTTCCTTTGTCAGGTCAGCTCCTTGCTCATCCTGGTGTGAGTCAAGCGTAACCCCACTGGTGCTCTTGCACCAGCGTGTACCTGGAATAAGTCCTGATTTCCCTTTCACTCACTCCAGTATAAATCCAGGGTGACTCCATGGGGGCTGACTCTCCTTTCCCCTGGTGTAAATGGGAATAACCTTCCTGCTCTCAGTTCTGTCTGATGGATCCAGGACTCCCCTCCCTTCCCACTTCACTGCTTCAGATTTCCAAGGGGGGGGGGGGCTTTGAGTGGTGGGGCAGGGGCAGTGCTCCCATTCTTTAAGCCTGAGGGGGTGGAGCCCCCAGAGGGAGGGAGCAGGTAACAGGAGCAGCTGGGTCAAATCTCAGGGGCATTGAACCTCATGCACCAAGTCTCAGTGCCACTCCTATTTAGGTGGGCCAAGCTCTTTAACCAAAATCCAGGCCTGCCTTCCCGGGATGGGCGCTGTCGAGGCTCTGGCAGTCCCTTTGGGCTCTAGCAGTCCCTTTGGGCCCACGGCTGAGCAGCGCCAGGGTCAGTGGGGGCAGATGGCGCATCCCGCTCCACCTTCCTGACCCCCCTGGCGCGGAGATCTGCTCCGAGCCCCTTGGGAGGGGCCGCGCTGGCCCGCCAGGAAGGCGCAGAACAACCTGAGCTCTGTTTATTTGCCTCTCGCTTTGCTCTTGCTCCGTCCCGCTCCGCTCGCCTGGGCTCTGCGCGCGCGCGCGGCAGGAACGGCTGCGGCCTCGCGGCTCCTCGCCCTGGTATGTCGGCACATTTCTGCGGCGCGGCCCGGCGCTGCGTTCCACGCGCTGCCCTGGAATGTAGCGGCACCTCTCGTTTTATGAATGACTCTATTCATGGGGCCCCTCCCACCGCCGCATGCCCCTCCCCTTTCCCCTGGAATGTCTGGAAAGGTGCCACCCTCGCTATTGGCCGGCCAAGGCCGGTGGGCGGGGCGCTGCCGGTGGGTGCTATAAATGAGGAGGCAAAAGAGGGCTCGCGGAGGCATTAGACGGGGCCGGTGGGAGAGGCACGTGGGAGTTGCCAGGTGGGGGTTTGCTGGCTACGCGGACCGGCTGTGACTGTTCCCCTGGGCGCCCTCTGTGCAGCTCTTCCTCTGGCCGGCTCCAGCCCGCGATGGACCAGGGGTCTCTGCTCA